TTTGCCACCTTGTAAATTCCCTTGTTATAAGCGCAGCTTGTGGTATTAGGCTGTTGGGCGGGCCACAAATTGACATTAGCCTTGACGCCCGTCTTGTTCAATGTGGCTTTAAATTCTGCAAGGGTCGAATGCATGTCAACAATGCATTAGTGGACTGTCATACTTCGCCTGGTATATGCAGTGAAGGAAGGGAAAAAAAGGCTTGTCAGAAATACAGCGTATAATCCGAGATGACGTCTCCTTGACTACAAACGCTGGATATCATCGGTTGCTTACAGACGCGCTGGTCAGGATCCTGGGTTGTGAGCAGGCAACTGCCGGGTTGACTGGGGTAATGGAATCCTTGCAACCTGGGCTTACGTGCTCTGACAGTGGTAAAAGGAAAAGAGTATCATATTCGAAACGAAACATCATCCGCCGCAAGCGATTGTGCCACACACAAACACACAAACCTTGTCATATCTCCTCTCCTCCCTTGACAGACTCAAGATACCAAGCGGGTCAGTGTCGAACCAGGGATATTTGCGAAGCAATCCTTGGTGCATGAATCATTTACAAAGGACCATGCTGACCATTTTGCAGATATTGCGCAGCATGGCTCGGTACAGTTGACCACGTTTCTCCCTCAAAAACCGGGCCGAAGAGTGTAACACATAGCCAACACGTACCCCAGTACACGTAATTTTAGGCCTCCCATACCTTTTGAGAAACAGGGGATAAGGAAAAGGGAGAGAAAAAAAGATATCGCTCAACTTGAGTTTTCCAAGAAGGTATACCAAGTATCTCTCGGAGTTATCCACGTGATGCGACCCGAGCTCAGGGCGAGACCTCTACAGCCGCGATCGCCTGGACATGAATGCACGTTACGTGAGCTAGACGATCCAGATTGTAAGAGTAATATAAGCAGCAGGCTCCGAAGAGGCAAGAATTTCAAGAAGGAGGCCCCAACCCCAGGTTCTGCAAGTCGCAGGGCCGGCAAGTGACAGGAATTGCCACTTTCCACTGCAGCAGACACGTGTATACACATCTTGAGATGGTAAGTCTCCGACCTCGTATCTCCCTTTCTTTTGCGGGCATGCGGCACGTCCCGTTAGCTTATAATTCTGAGGGCTATGGTTCGTCGTTACGGTACACACGCTAGCATCTGCTATCACGTTAGCCCCTATAATGCTCGGGCTTATGAACCCGGCACCCTAAGCCTTGGACGCCGAGTAGGTTGAGGCTATCGCAGGACAGCGAGACAAGGTGTGGTTCAACGTGTGAGATCGCCACCATACAAGGCAATTTGATGGACTGGACCCCGTTGTAAAAGGTTAGTTAGAAAATATTCTTCCTGGAAACTTTTAGTGCCACGCGTTGCAGAATAGAGCGACTTCGTGCATTGAAAAGTTGTCGATCGCTGTGAGGTGCGCATCTCCGCATCCGCTAGACATGTAACTTTTTCTCCGGCGACAGCACGTGTGCATGACAGTAGTGGTGGTGGTGGTGATAGTAACGGGAGTAGTGTTGTGATGGCGGGACGACTAGGGTCAATCTTGATTCGCCGTGGCGCAGTAGGTTGTACCGAGACCTGGGTGGGGACTCAGAAAAAGGTTGCTTGAATCGTGGCACACACACATATGTACGCACATATCGGTAGTTGAATTCGGGCGGTCAGATCGCATGCCTGTGCATGGACGTGGTTATGTTTCGGGGAACCGGTGTGATGGTGTGAGCGCATATTTCTTCAGAAGTTTGATGAGCCTGGCAGGGCAGCTCCAGAACGTGCGATGGTGGGTGCGTGCGTGCGTGCGGGCGGAAGGGGAGAAAGAAATGTTCCGGGGGGGGGGGGGAAACTTGGGACTCGGGCGGTGGCACCCAGAGACGAGCGAGCCGTTGCGCCACACGAACTCTCAGTCAGTGGTAGGGCAGTTAGTGAATCAACTGACTGTGCTTGCCTTAGACGCAAGCGTCTTGAGGCAAAGGTTATATGGGCATATCATATTGTCAGATTGCTTCTTCCGCCCTTCGAAGCCGAGTATTACTGTTTTCGGGGAGAGCTGATGCGAAAACCCGAAGTGCCGCACGGCGGCCTCTGGCAAAGGGAGTGGAAGCGTGTTGCTGCCCCAGAAATAGAAAATTATCAATCACCTGAAGAGTGCTAGTGTTCGAAAAAGATAGTTTACGCACGTAAGCAAAGCACATCACGATGCACGCTCGGCCGAGTAAAGATGTACAGATCGCTGAGTAGCGGTCAATGAGTAGGCGGTCCCCTGCACGTGAGCTGGAAGGATAGGGTACCGAGTCATTCACAACTCTACTTTTACAACGCATTCGCGATTCTTACTCTCTGCTGGGTGTTCATCTGAGCACCGATAGTAACATAGATGTGAAGAATGGATACTAAAAAAGAGAGGGCAAGGTGACGGAATGATGCGTCCGACACTAAGTAACTCTTACGCAGACGGCGCACTAATGGGCCACAACTGCAGTGCGGAATTAAGCCTCGACACCCATGCAGCCTTCTTGAGGCTCCAATGAGGGGCCGCGGGATGTAGCGACAACGGTGGAACTCTCAACATGCTCGCTGATGGGTCTGTTGTGGCAAACAAGCAATTTTAGAGACTCGGATGGAGAAGACGGTGCCTAAACCAGCAACGGAGCGGAAGGCCTGAGGCTCAACGGCAGACATATCTTGTGGGTCTGACAAATGTCCCGTCTGTGATTGCACGAAAACGGCTGGGAGGCTGGCATTTTGGACCCTGGTTGTCCAAAAATGAGGACACCAAAAGGTGATCAGGGGCGAATTGGGTATCTGCAGGGCTTGTCATGTTAGCACAGGTGTAGTACTACACTACACAGTACTTGGTGAAGAGCGTCCGAAACCTTGCAGGTCAGCGCGCAAATGTGCTTTGGGCAGCTACGGAATGTACCACACAGAATCTTCTCTCTTTCCGTCTTTCTCTTTTTTGCTTCCGAAGAGACGCAAGAATCCCGGGGATCCGAGGCAATGGGTCGACTTGGTTTAGGGTTGGGCATGGTGTGTGAGCTAAGCACTTGGTGCCGAATGGCTAGCCATGTGGGCGCCATGTGGGTAAAAAGCTGTTGGGGTAAGTACATGTACAGGCAAAGTACATGATGTGACGCAGTTCAAACTCCGAGGCACATGGACGACGCAGTGAGTGTATGGTGGTTGCAGTTACGACGGCAGGGCCGAACAGGAGGATTCTCGCGTATCGCGTTGGAAGGTTGGTTGGGCGGGGGCTAGGGGGGATGCAAAAGGATTTGCTAAGCGTGGGTTTCAAGCATTGACGCACGCATGTGTGCAGGAGGGAAAAGCTACGCGACAAAAAGATCGTCACGGTGGAGGGCAGCGACAACGTCGAGACTCGGCTGGAGGCATGTGGCGGTGCTAGGAGTGTGTGGCAGTTTGGTAGTTAGTGTGCCACTGACTCTTTCGCAATGAGGCCCCGAAGCGTACAGGCGAGGTGGGGAGGGAGGAGGACCAGTCAGTCGACGCGTGGCGGTGCGCGCGCGAACAGGCTGGGGTTCCACTACCCGCCCAAACCGAACCGGCCGACTGGAATGACATCACGCGCGATCCCGGTCTTGCTGTAGGTCATACGCTAGCGCGCGATTGCCTTTGTGCATCGTACGACGCCCGCCTCTGGACCTGAACATGTATCCAAGGACACATGGCTGTATACGCGCCATGGCGACAAGTACCAGTAGGGCTACCAGGCTAGGCAATGCCTCGACGCCAAACCTTGGCGCCGGGGGGAAACAGCTGTTGTAATGCATCATCCATGGTCCTGTTTTGCTGTCCCCAGGCTAGTACGTAAAGCCGGCGCGCTGGGTTAGGCGTAGCAAGGGTTCGTGTGCCGCTTACTGCCCATTGGCTCCAAAATGACTATATATGGCAAGTGGCCTGCCAATCTTCGACGCGAAAACGCAGGGCAAACCAGGACCGTCACAAGGGGAAAAAATGCCACTAGGGCTGAGCGACTAGCACCACACTGGACAACCTTAATTCTTATATCCATTCCCAACTGAGTATCCCGCAATCCGCTTGCCATCCCGTTGGCCAGTCTTGGGCTTTGCAACCACGCTGCTTGTCTTTGTAGTCTTTACCGACATATCTACTCACCGTGTGCAAACCATTCTCTTTCAGGGGACGTGTGGGTAGGTGCATCACGGCAAGGTATCTGGAAAGAGAGAGAAAAAAAGGACATTGCGCAATTGGCTGCTTGTAGCCGCCGCTCCACTTGCCATGATACACATTCTTCTTCATTACACATGTCTATTGTCTGAGATGATGTTGAGCTTGCGCTCAACTCCGCGTCCAAACAGCAATCGCCGCCGTCAATTGCTGCCCTGCTCCCTGCTGCTCCTGCTCGTCCCGCTCCTGCTGTCAGCCTCTGCCTCGCTGGGCATATTCCCGCATGCTCCATGTGCCTACTTTCCCACACGTACATAAGCGAACGCCGGACTACTAGTTGCGTTGACGTAACAGGATAGGGCGGCCTTGTCGCATGCCCGTGCAGAATATGCCGGCTCGCTAAACCTTTCCATCTTGCGCTCCCCCAGCTGTTGCGCCGAAGCCCCGCCGCCGCCAGACCCAAAGCCGACTACTGCAAAAAGCTCTCGACAGCTTGCAACTTGCAACTGAGTCCATGTCATCGGACCGTGTGGTCCCATGCATCACCTCCACCCCACCTCCCCTTCCATGGCCCCAGGCCAATCGATCGGAAATTGTCCTCGCCGTCCCATGCATCAGTGGAGATGACGACAACGGGCCGGGCGGATGTCGCGTTTCATCTTGTCGGTGCGATTTCTCGAATCTGGGAAATAACGGTGCTCAGGCCTGACTGTATTGGTTTGGTGCATACCCCGCAGTTGGTGTCTGCTCCTGCCGGCCTGCTGCATTGGGCGAAGGAATGTGATAATGCACCTGGGAAGCCGTCGCTTGCAGTGGAGCAGTATTCATTTGGTTCCTGGGGGTTCGTTCAGCGTGCCTTCGTTCACGTCCAGATAGGTGTAGCCACGAACCCGCTGGGATAGCCCGATGGCATTCCGAATGAGATTGCATGCTCCTGCGGGGCTGAGTATGGCGGCAGCAGCGCTACCGGTGACCCGAGCGGAGACGCGTAGCTGTTTGACGACGCATAGCTGCTACCCGTCCCGTACGCATCCACGGCTGTCGTCGACGACCGAGGTACTTCGAGATATGGTGATGTGGGCGTCGAGGCCATGCCGGCCGGAAGAAACGTCAGGGGCGACGGTGCAAAAGCGGGGGAGAGGCTCTGGCTCTGACCGTAGCTGTACTGAGCAATTTGGTTCTCCAGATCCTGGTTGATCGACTCTAGCGGATAGCTCGATTGCTGCTGCATTGGCGGCATGGCCATGCTTTGTTGCCTTGCCCATTCGCGCCTCCCTTTGTATGCTGTTGCCATGTCCATGGGGAATCGTACCAGGTACGACATGGTCTGTACATGCGAATCGTATCGTGGGTCTTGGAATGCCTGAACAAGCTGAGTGATTTCTTCCAGTGGACGAACAGACAGGTCTGCAACAAAGACAGAGGCAACGTCGGGGAACATTGGCTCCAAGGCCAATGCGGTAGCGTAGAAGTGCGCTAGAATGACCAGTACGATGATGTCTCCGCGTTTTGCAGCCAAAAGTGAAATGGGGACCCAGAATAGCCACTTGCGTAGGGCATACAACTGATTGAACTGTTCTTCTGGGCTCTGTGCTTGACCCGACGATCTCAGGCGGTCAAGGTAACCTTTCAGCTGCTCGACCCATTTGGACTCCTGTTCGTTGTGAACCAAGTAGGGTTGTAGGCGTTGTAGAGAGGCGTGGATATCGACAAGAGTGTTGATGTGCTCCCTGTGTGCTTCTGGCGATATTGGTGTACTGATTGGGTTCATGAAATGTCGGTCAGGCATAGGGGTGTGCTCTGCGATGTAGTCTGCAAAAAGAGATTCGTGCCTCCAGGGCTGCATGGACTGTATTACCTGATTTTACTGTTAGCTTGTGCATCTACAGGCCCGCAGGGTTCAACCTACTGTTTTTGTACCGGTGACCAGAGAAGCCCAGCCTCGCCTATGTGGCTTTTGTTAGTTTTGAATCAGCAGCTTGGTCGGGGAGTATCCTCACCAGTCTGTCGCCTGCCAGGCGAGTAGAAGAGAAGATGCAAGTACTGCGTCTGAGTTGTGTTTAGTAAAATTGGTGATGCCGTCGTGCAGGCCCTTGAGGGCAAGGCTTGCGTGGTGGAAAGCAAGGTTGCGTGTTTCAGCCGACTGAGAGATCCAGGCAAGATGCGAGGCAGAAAAAGCGAGAATGCTATGCATAACGAATGGATGGGACGCGGCAATGCTCAAGAATCTAGACAAGTTAGTCGTGTTTTGACAGATTGGCAAAGGCGAGGGCAGTCAATTGCGTACTTGGGCATCATGTCTGTCCAGAGAGTCGATTTCGAGGTCCTGTTCCTGAACATTTCGTTCGAAATCGAAGAGAGGTGGTGTATGAGACGGAGATCAACCGTCGTCAAGGTACGCCATTGTGGCTGAGGGTAGACTCGAAGCTCTGGGAAGGGGAATTCTCCCGTCTGTCTCCAGAGTTCGATAGTAGCCTCAATCTCGGGTGTCCAGAGCAGGTTAGGCTGTTGAGGAGACTGTGGAGATTCCGGCATCATGGCAGTGGGACTGTCCATGTAGTCGCAGCGGACTTGGTGCTTCGTGCAGTTGCGACTAGAGTGGTTTGTTAGTCTGTGAATGGGGCATTGGAGAAAAAACAGAGGAGAAGAAAAAAAAAAGGCCTGTGTGGGTTACCATTGGGGAAATGTCTCGTCACAGCGAATATGCCTCCGCTTGCAGGTTTTGCAACCCTTTCGGGATTTGGTGTGACTGCGCCTTGAAGGGCCACCACCAGGTCCAGCCATTTTGTTAGTGTTGGTGGAAGTCGACAGAGTGGTTTTTTTAGCGAGTGGGAGGAGGAATCGAGAGAAGATGGAGTGGGACTGCGCAGTTTAGGTTTGCAGAGGTCCAGTGTAGGTGGGATTAGGATGTGGACAAGTCGGTTGGAGATGGCTTGGGGAGTTGTGGTAGTGGTGGTGTGTGTGAGGGGGAGCAAGTGTGTCCCAGGTGTAGTAGATGTGGCGCAGAGTTGACAAAGCGAGGGTAATGGGGTCGAAACCGGTGAATAAATTGGACAGGGTGTTTTTGGGCAGGGTAACTGTGATGGGCTTGTGGTGATATATAGTGCAGAGTGCAGAGTGCAGATAGGATGGATAAGCTTAGATAGCTTTAGGGCTGGCCCAGATATTGACGCAAAAGCCAGCGATGCCTTCGGCGGACAGGCAACGAGGGTACGACAGGACGAGGTGACAGCGGATGGGGTTAAGCTCGTCTGCACGCTGCCCCCTGCACCGCGACCATGCAGGATCAGGGCAAGGCTACGAGACTAGAGGGTCGCCAGGCTGGAGGTGGTATGTGAGCAAAAGCGCAGGGTGACTTGTGCTCGGCAACCAACGACAACGGAGACGAAGAAACGGGGCCAAGGAGGATTAGCAGAGACATGGCGGCCACGCAAATAGCAGTGACGCCACGGGCGGCGGAGGGGAGGGGGGTGGGAGGGATTTGGGTAGCAGCCGACCAGAGGGGAGGGAGGCTAGCAGGGACTACAGCGAAGCTTGCGGGAGCTACAGTTGATGGATTGATGCACACAGTATGGGACCGGCTGGCTCATGCTCGTATGACATGGCCCCGGTGTAACTCCCGTGGGGATTAAGCTTCTGTTTCCAGTGGCCATGGACCCCTCGCCTGTAGCCAGCAGCGAGAGGTTCCGGCATGGCTACATGGACTATGTACGTACATACATGACAGGCGCCATGGCTTGGCTTGAGCCGAGGGCAGCCAGCCCTGGGGCGGGACAGATGGGAGAGGGCGGATGCAAGCGTGGACGGATATGTACAACTACGTATGTATGTAGCTACGGATGGGTGAAATAGTGGGGAGGGGGTGGGTGTGGGTGTGGGAGTGTGAGTGAGGCAGTGGGTGAGTGACTTGGTTAGTGAGTGTGAGAATCAGGAATGGATTGATTTGGACCCCTGCGCGGCGAAACTTGAGGCGAGGGACAGGAGCATGTAACAGGTGTGGTCTGGCTCTAGGTCTGGTTGTCAGCTGGGGTTGCAGCAAGAGGTGGCTCTGGTGTGGTGCTCGAAGCGGGCGTCGGTCCCCCTGGCAGGGCCGTGAGCACGGTGGGAGTGGCAGAGACAGAGGAGCAGGAGAGGAGCGTTTGGGCAAAGCGGCCGTGGTGCCGATGCCGGTGCCGATGAAGGAGCAAGCAGGCAGGCAGGCAGGCCGGGCGCGGTTGGAGGCATTTGGTGCGGTTGCTGGTGCGGACGTTGGTGCGGACGCTGGGTGCTGGTTGCTGGTGGGCGTCGTCTAGTGCAGTGGGCAGTGGGCGGTGGGCGGTGGGCGGTGGAGGGTGGCAGGAGTGGGTGCATGAGCCGCTTGCAGCGGGGGTGCTCAGCGCGCAAGAGGCGTGAAAAACGGCCATTGAGGAGCGCCGAGCTGTGGCAGGCCAACACTGTGGCGGGCCGTGCGTGGAGAAGGATCGACCAGTAGCCAGGCGGATAGCGTGCTGGGCCAAGCTGCAACGGGTAGCTACAAGCCGCGTGCCCTGCCTGCCCTGTCCTGCCCGTCGTGCCTGCCCTGTCCTGCCCGTCGTGCTTGCCCTGTCTGCCCTTGCTGCCTGTCGTGCCTGCCCTGCCTGTGTTGTCGACGCCAGTAAGTACGCGAGTGCCAGTGCTAGAGCCAGTGCCAATGCCAATGCCAGTGCCAGGGCGCAACCAGACCCAGTCCAAGTGTCAATCGGCCCCGGGTCAGCCTCGGGGCCCGCGTTGCTAAATTTTCCTGCACCATGCTCGAGGGCTGATGCTCATGCTCATCATCATCATCATCACCATCGCCGCGATAGTCATGATGCCGCTGCCTGCGCGCCATGCTGGCTGGCTGGCTGGCTGGCTGGCTGGCTGCTTGCATCCCGCCTCCTGCCTCCTATCCAGGGCCTGTCGGGACGTGGGTCACCATCCTCTGCACTGCGCAACACAGCTCCCAATGCCAGCTCCAGCGCCAGCTCCCGCTCCTCCAGCTCAAAACACCGCACTGCACAGCCTTCTGCTGATGCCAATGGCAGCCGTTGCTACAACTCTGCGCGCCCACGCCAGGGCCCATCCAATATCTCGAGGTCAAAAATAGCCCTCGGTGCGTCACCTGCCATCACGCGAGTGCTGATGACGGCACACTGCACTTTGCCTGCACTCTGCACCATCTGCCCAAACGCACAAAGGGTCTGTCGGCCACTCAGCCTGTCCACGGCCGCCGCGCTGGCCTCACTTTTTTTATCGATACTACGCTGCGCGCGCGCACACACTCGTCGCACCCTCGCCGCTATATTTGCGTCGCGCGGCGCCGAGTCGTGCCAGACCATCCGAGTAGCGGCTCTATTCTAGTGGCTCGACCAGGCACAGGTCTCACGTCCCTCTGGTCGCCGCCACAGCTAGCCCAGATGAGTCAGCGAGCCTCGCTGCCCTGCCACTCTGCCACTTAGGCGAGCCCGCCCGCCGTGGCGCCTGACCACATGTGTACTCTCCATCCCACTGTCCCATGTTGTCCCAACGGCCGCCGCCAATCCAAGCCCTTTCCCCTCCCCTCCCAGACCATGCCCTCGCCGAACATGCTGATGAGCTTGCGCCCACGCCCGTTGCACCCTCCGCCTGCACTAACCGCTGTTCATCCACGCCTCTGACTCTCTCCTTCCCCTTCCCCTTCCCCTCCCCTCGCGCTCTCCTGCCTTCCTGGTGAAACGAGAACGGCCATCGCGAGATACGAGCCCAAATCTACCTCACTAGCACTGTAGCGCCCGTCGACTACTACCCTTTTGCCCGCCCACTACTACCTAGCCCGTTTTGCGCGCTCGGGCAGAGCCTCCACGAAGCCACTCCCAGCCCATCACTCGGTAGAGGTAGTACGTACCTACACGGCCTCCGGCTACTTTGCTAAAAGCCACAATTGCCCTAGCATCCCAATCTGGTTAGCCACCGGCCATAAAGGCTATTCTTAGCTTTAACCTCTCTTTACCCTAACAACTTTGCAGCCAGCAATGCACCTCGGCTCATCCATGTCCTCTCTGGGGTTTCTGCACCTAGCCTATTTTCCCCTTGACTATTCTCTTCCTCTCCATTGTCTGCTCGACATCGCGGCCCCTAGCCCTCCCGGCCACCGCAACAGGTAATTGACAAATTCTATACATGAACATGGTACACAATGACGTCTCCAATACCCATGGTCTCGTGCAACCACATGGCTCCGTAACACCCAATCGAGACACTACTAGCCACACTCGTCCCAGGCCCGCCAATGACCCGGTGAACCCGAACCCGCATTTGTCTCCATTCTTCCAGCTGTCTGCAAGCCACATGCTACTTGCACCACCTTGCAAACAATCCCTCTCCACCCGTCGGCACATGGCTATTAAAAGCCTTTTTTTCCAGTCATGCCATTGGCGCGGGACCAAACGTTACCCACGGGTGTGGTTGGCGACACAAGAACCACATGTCCTCTTTGCCGTCACTAGCCAATGGCGTCCACATGTCTGCTCCGAGTACTCGGCTCTCTGCCCGAATATACACACCTGCTTGCATCTGCTGCATCCACTTACATCATGCGAGCCATTGTCTCATTCAGACCTTCCATCTGCTGATATTGCCAATATATCGTTACACAGATATCCAGCTCCCATGCGGCATGCCCGAGAGGAAAAATTATTACACTCAGCCCCGCCTCTGTCCCAAAACAGGAGACACACGGAGAAACAGAGATAAAAAAAAAGATACTCTCACTTGCATTTTTCGTGCATAACATCTGTACTGTACTCTAGTCCTCGGTTCCGCGGCCCAAAAAGCTCCCAAGTAAAGCGTCTCGTACCATGAAACATTCGGACCGGCCATCGAGTCGTTTCTAGAAATTGTCGTCGACGGACTCCTCTCAATACTCCTAGTGCCAAAGTCCCTTTCCCCCCACAAGATCGCCCACTAGTCTGGGCCCTGAGTCGCGTCCAGACTAGTTTGACGATAAAAAGATTTTCCCATTCAATGCCAACATGCTAATCGTTTGCAATCCCGATGGGGTACTAATACGTGTCTTTGCTCCGAAACCTTTTTCTATTATTACCGACCCGTCGGTGGTTTTTCATGCTGCTAAGAAAGAGGGGTAGTATCCAGCTTTTTCTGCCGACTAGTATCACCCTATAGTACCCAACAGGTTTAACCCTTTCCTGATTACTTATTGTGTACTTGGATGCAGCACAAAGCGGTGTACTCGAGTACTATCAATGCATAATCCATGTGGAAAGGGGGGGTTTTGTCGGATAATATGTCCGCTTCAGTATCAAACTTTACACTAGGCGTTTCTGGTCCTAGGTGCAAATGCAGTCTCGTTTAGTAGGTGTGTCTCCCTCTATCTGCCTGTGCAGTAAGTATACAGTGATTTTTAGACTAAATGATGTTGAGCTTGGTCGAAATGATCACCTCCAACTCTTCACATCATACGTACATTTCCACGTCACACAAGTGAAGAAATCGGAGATAACAAAAAAGGGGGAAAAGCAACCAAGAACCAAAAAAAAACAGGGAAGATACCAAGAACCATTTGCCGATAGCCCGAGACCGATTTCAGAGACCGACCTCCGACTACAATAGAGAATACGAATAGCACAATAGCCTATAGCAGTCCTTCTGCCCCTACTCCGAACAATTGGGCTGAAAAAAAATAGCGAGAAAGAGAGAAGCTAGCCACGACTCTTCGCCTAACCATGGCAGCTGCGAATTCCAGAGAATACGAGCCATTCAGCCAACTGCTACAAGATACGTAGCCACACCAGCAAGCCACTGCGTGCATAAAAATGATGTCATACTGCCTCTGGGCCGCTGTTCTACATAGAAGTGGGCCCTCACCCCCCTCTTGTCCCTTTGACACTTACCCACACCCTACTAGTACTGAACTACCGTGTGATAGCGCACACCCACACCCATTCAAACTCGCTCATGTGTCTGTTAGTACAGATGTACATAGACAACATGCATATCAACATGTACTTGGCATAGGCCTGTAGTGATGCCGTTATAGCAAGGTACCCCAGACTAATTCACTAGATCCCGGCCGCGAACCCAAGCTTGCCCATATAAATCACTGAAAAAGGGTTAGCGGGGGGAACTGGGCTGGATGTTTTGGGGGGGGAGGGGGGGTGTCAAGAGGGAACTAGATGCCGCTAGTCGGATGATCTGGATTGTCCAAGCTAAGGATGAGCACATTAATGTTCAATTATCCGAACGAGAGAAAAAAAATAGGGTGAAACCTGTAAATTAGCACTTCATGTCTCTCTTAGTAAGTATCCTGGTTACAGGAGGGACGGGACGAGAAGAAGAAACGGATAAAATGACCGTATTTATCTCCATCGAGTCAGTCCCGTGCGTGGCAGAAGATCATGACTCCAGATTAACATTTCGTATACTGGAGACTTGGTGGGTTTGGGAGACACTGGGAAACAAAAAAAAACAAAAAAATACCCGATAACCGAGATCATGGGGACCATGTTACGAGGGTCTAGACAACAAGAAGAGGGGAGAAGTGAGAGTGGAGAGGAGAGAAGTGGAGAAGAGAAGAAACAAAGAAAAAAAACAAGAGGTCGAGATAACCGACCGGCCCATCTAGCTCAAAACTATAAATTGACAAATACACCTAGAACCATTAGAATCCCCCAGAAGATGGGAGAAAACAAGAACAAAACAAACACTAATGCCTCAAACACGGTTTGTATCCGGTGAAGGGGAAACTTTTTTGTAAAACATGAACTAATGTCAAAAACTTTTCATCTTTCATTCTCTCTCTCTCTCTCTTGTGTCTATCACACACACTGTTTCATCACACTAAACAATAGACTTTCTGTAGAGACCCTCCTTCACACACTTACACACTCCCCTCTCTCTCACACACACAGACACCCCCTTGGTCCCCCCCCCCTCTGTACAGACCTTTCTCTCTCTGACACAGTCCCCCCCCTTTCACAAACCTATGCATAGATTCCTCTTTCACACACCCTCACTCAGACTCTCACTTTGGAAAAGAAAAGCAGAAGAAGAAGAGAAGAAGAAACTAAGCTAAGCTATCTACTTGTACTATGTATAAAACTACTCCCTATACCCAGCATACTACACTCACATAAATGAGAAAAAAAAAGAACGCCCGAGAAAATGTTACCTCATAGCACCTCGTCAAACTCAGTATGGAAGAGAATCCAACCAAGCAGCAGCAAAGGGGAAAGAAAAGAGGTCGCTTGCTGGAATAAAAGGAAAAAACAAACAAACGAAACAAATGTCTATATATGATGCCGTGAGAACCATTGCCCTCCGCTCCCATAATCCTTCTGCCGTTAAATGCTTTCATTGACTTCGTTTCGTTCTTCTCCTTCTTCAGTCGGGAGTGACATCCCCCCTCCCACCTCACAGACGTTCCAGTCTCACCTTCACATTTTTTTCTTCTTCCTGATGTTTCATCTTCTCCATAACACCATACTGCACACATGCCTATATTCAACGCCCGCTATACCACATGAAATAAATGCTCTAAGGGGGAAAAGACAGAGACACCTAGACGCTGTACAGCTCCCGGAACCGTGCTTGTTGCTCTGCGGGAAGACCGCCCAGAAAGGCGTCAAAGTCCGAAATCATGCCCTTGTACTGCTGGACAACCTGGTTACGAGCATTAGTAAATTGTAGATATGACTAACAGTAATCTTCTTTCTCTTACCTTTTGGAACGTCTCCAGCACTTGTCTGCCTGCGGGGCCTCGGACCACATTGCTGTCGGCCATTGACATGTCACTGAAGAATTCAAGCAGAGATTGCTCCATCGCGCCAGGATTCGCCAGCACAATCAACATGAAAC